ATTTCTTTGTAAATTATATATTCTGATTAAATTTTACCAAAAAATAAAAAATAAAAATAAATAAATAGCCCAATTAATACCAATATTTACTAAACGTATTTTATAAAGATATTAAGTGCTTAATTTATAATAGCCCTGATTGGTTATAATAATTTATGATACTACAATATACGTATACACCACAATTACATCTAAGAAATACAATTTAAAAATATTTTAGAAATAATCATAATTTAGTTTAAAGATTTATCAATCCAATCCAATAATATATTATTTTATATAGATATTATATTTTGTGTTTATAACAATGTTAAAYCTTAGAATAAATCAAATTTCGTTWATACATTTTTTACAATCTTTTGAAGTTTAGAATATAATATAAATTTCTGTTTTTTCCATAACGTACACCTTTGTACTGCAGATAACCTGCTGTGGATATAGAATATTTTTTAAATMTCAAATACCTACTTCTCTTTTTCTTTATTTTATTTTTGATTCTAAGCGGAGCAATGAATGTATTGATTTTACAATGAAGTGCGTTGTTTGGGTCCGTCATCCYCTTTTGAAGGGCATTTTTTATCTTMTATTATATATGTTTTATTTGTTTCTGATAAGAAAATAAATTTAGATGTTCTCTCTTGGAGGTAAAAAATAAAAATTACCTGTAATTTTCCTATTAATTGGGAAATACAAAAATAATTGAAGAAAAATGTGAATTTTTATATACCTACACAAAAACCAGTTTTCAACAAAATAGGTTTTTTTTATTTGGTTGTAATTAATAAATAAATAACTGTGATAATTGACATTTTCTCCTACCTTTTATTCTAAAATTGTCTATACATTTTATTATTTTTCTCTTTTTAAACTATTTATAGACAATAATGACGGTTTTGATTTTTTTTTWTAAATAGGTAGATATTGAAAAAAAATCTAATCAATCAAAAAGTTTGTAAATGTAATGCATGGTTCTTCATTAGTAGTTCACACTGAAACCAGAAATAATGATTAAAAACAAAATTAAGCAAAAAAGAACGATTTTAGTTATTTTGTTGTAGTTAAAGAATATTATTGGCGTGATCTAAAATATTGTTATGCGAATTACTATTATATAATTATTATGCGAAGGTATATTATTATATGATATTTAAAATGTAGATTACTYTTATGTAGTCGCCTAAATATCTTGAACACATTCACGTGGTACTACCTACGGTAAGTCGGTATTGACTCAAAATYTAATAATAATATTATATGATAGATATCTATTATTATAATAATTGGATATTAATAATATGATGGTAGATGAAATTTAATATTCTTGGAAAAAAATAATTAAATTAACCTTATTAGTAATAGTAAAATAATCTATTAAAGTACCAAAATAACATATCATAGAATATACCTACTTATAGYAAGTACCTATAATATTATATAATATTCTGGTAGACCCTTTCGCTCAGAAATGTTTTCCGTTTGCAATTTTGCATCATTAAATCCAAACTRAACACCGACATAACACTTTTACGGTGACTTGCTCAATGACGAGGTACACTCGACACTATTATACTGTACAGCAGAGTGGTCACTTAATGTCCCTTTTTTTACCCTTAAACAGCTTAGAGTTTATTMACCAGTTTCAGTTTGAGGCAATTTATTGTGCCTAAAGTTCTTATTTAAAAAAATCCACATTGCATATTAATGGCACGCACTCTTCCATTACTCGTATTTTATAAACATTCTTAAACACGCTTTTATTTCAATCTCTAATTCCATAGCGATGGCGTAAAAGCCTTAAAGCAGAGTCGATAAAATAGTATTTTTGATTTATAATACATCAAGTATTATGAATGAAAATACTTGTTTTAAACACACCTAATATATATTGGCAGCGAGTAGACATCAGTATATAATACTGATATTATTATTATCATTATATTACTATTTTTTTTTTTTTTTTAGGGTTAGGGCTTCGACAACTGATTTCATTAGCCTGGGGAACTGTAGGGGAAAGTACTGTAGGGGAAGGTACTGTAGGGGAAGATACTGTAGGTTTTAACACGTGGGTTTTTGGCAGAATTTTGAATGGGTACCCGAGGTTTCTCTGCCATGCCCGGTTGGGGGGCGGCGCGGCGGCCTCTCTCTCCAGACACCGCGAAATGCCCAAAGAGCGATTCCGCCCGTGACCAAGATTCGAACCGGTGACTGCATGCGTCGCAACCGACGCCTTAGTCCGCTCGGCCACTCCACCCCCATTATATTATTATTATTATTATTATTATTGTTGTTGTTGTTGTTGTTGTTATTATATCAAATTGAAAATAACATTCTGAGATGCGTACAACTAGTTGCGTGTTAATGTTTTGTGTATAGTACTGCAGCAGCTAGGTACTACAGTGAGGATAAAATTGATAGCAAACACAAATCGTTTTAAAAATAAAAAAACACTCGAGTAGTAAGCTCAACGCTCATATGCACTTGTGTCGTATGACCTCGTGTATACCAAATGCCTCGCCATACATGATGATATACCTATCTACATCATAGGTACGTGTATAATACGGGTATAAAAAAACATACAACCCACTCATCCGTGATACGTATAAAAAGCGTAATAAACGCGATCAATCTATGTGAGATATAAAAATGTATAAACACATTATGCGTACACATCATTGGTGTGATGTACACGGTGTATATAYTTAAAGTGCATCCATATACTATACTTGAGTTTTATCGAAATCGCGTCAAAGCAAATACGTTCTTAACACACAMACCTATCTATCTGTATGTCATATAAATGTATAATATTCCACTATATAGTATATGGCCGGAGGAATAAACATCGTCGTAGACAGAAAAATAATAAATCCATTAAATCCAAAAGCGTAATGGTATCATTATATCAGAAGAGTAATATAGTAAGTGCCTACCTACGAAACATTACGCAGGCGCGACTCTAAAAAACAACGAAGTTTGCAACAGTTTAGTGAATAGTGACATCACGACTACCCTGCAGTGAATGTTGTTTCCGTACATACAATAATAATAATGACATACATTATCTATAAGATTTTAAGAAGTTGAAGAATACGGTTCAAAATATGGACACCCGTGGTCTATGGCACTAGATTTTCAGCCGTGCCGTTCATGTTAGTTTTCGATTTTCAATCATTTCAATATACATATAGCTTATGATATATATTATATTATACAATATAACAATTCTATGYTGATGGAACTCGATTGAAATTTTTTTCATATTTAAGAGAAGGCTTAAAAGAAGGAAAGCGCAATCGATATACTAACCGTAAAATAAAAGAAGTGCAATTATTGGTACATTGATCCTAAGATACAAATTGTGTTTTAGGCGTAACTCGTTTTAGATTCAATAACTAGCGTACTGTCTTGGACAATTGAACGAATATACATACAGATATACATGATAGATATGCATGATGACTGGAAAAATAAATTTTGCAAATAAAGAAATAACAAATAAATTATATGACAAATAACCTACTATCGTTATATTAGAAATGTATAGATATAACTATATTAGGATCCTACAGACTACAAAACATTACACGAGCCACTCTAGAAAACGATATTTGCAACACTACCTATAATGACATCATTTAGTATATTATACCTAGTGAATGTTGTGTACATGCATAATAAATAATAATAATAATAGTATATTATGTATTATGCGTTTCCTATACAAGCTCACTGCAGGAGTACTTACCTACCCATATAACAATGTGACCTAGAAAGAGCAAATTTCGCGCGTTCGTTCACGTCGTCGTCGCTACTTCCTATATTATCCGAAACTCACATACTGTATAGAATGGTGGGAGAGGGGACAATCCTATTCATAATGGGAACTTGTTCATAATAATATGATATTATGAGTTGGACTATACCTGTACTAGTGTACTACCTTTACCACTGTCCACTGCCCTACTGCTATACAATATAAACTACTATCGTCTATCTACAACAGCTAATCTACACCGGTGAGCGAAGGGTATATTATAATATCAGGTAGGTAATACATTCACGGAGGAGAAAAAAATTGGCCGTAATAATGAATCGGTGACATATATTGGACATAATACGTCCGTGTGGAATGAAGGAGAAAGTTGAACTCGACCTCGGACCGGTATGTTACTTAATCGCGGTAAAGTATTACGTACTGACGCATCAGTAATAGGTGGGTTTCCTACAGGTATTCAATACACGCGGCGTCGTTCAGTGTATGATGTATACGCAGTCGCACCGCCGCAGTCCGTCCAACGATATAACATTTTAGGAAAATAGTTATTAGAACTTTTGCGCAAATTTATTCGGTGCACACTCGTTATGTAAAAATCAAAATCAAATCGTTTTCAAAATATAGAAAACACGCCACGATAAGGTCATTTATAATAATTTTGACGTACCCATACGTCAATATATTCCGTTTCAAGACATTTATATTTCACCGTAATATAGGTATAACCTATACCAACCTACGATATAACATAAAGCATAATTTTTGATTTAAAATAACTGAAAATACTATATTATAATAGTTAAATTTTGGTAACATATAGTGATAATTTTTTTTTTATATAAATACCAGCAATATTGATTGAATTGTTTGAATTGTTTTCAATTAAATATCACAATCACCCATARTCAAAAATACAGTTCAACTATACGATCGCAGTGATTTTCTAGCGATTCTAAATATGATTTCAAAGTGTTTTTATATTTCGAAAGTGTAACAAATATTGCAAACAGCCAAAAAAATTTTTGTTTTAAGTAAATATGTTCATTACAAAACCAAAATGGATCGAAAAGGTCACCGTAGAACCAATGCTGTTTTTATATTTTGTAACATTAGCCATCTCGGCTTTGGTAAGTACTAATATGGTTTATAATATATGTAGGTATCTAGGCTTGCATTTGAAAAAAAAAAATGTTTTACGTTAACTTGAACTAAAAAGTTATAAAGCTTTTGAGTATGAATTTCTTTAGATTTAATGCGTTTTAAATTTTTACATTTGATGGACGTTATCTGTTGTCTTCGTCTTACTAACAAATACATTAAAAAATTGTACGTAAAGAAAATTTGTTTCACTCTGTTATATTTAATATTTGAGAAGATTTAAAGTGAAGACTAGGTCACCTCACCTTGTAAAGGTTTACTTGATATTTCAATTTTGAAAAGCTATGAGTATTTTAAAATTGTAAATTGTCTATAAATGCTTGTCATTTATTTTAAGTTTTAATTTATAAAAAAAAGTCTACTGCGCAATATGATGTAGAGCCACAAYGGGAACAAGAGWCAGGGTGTAACGTTAAATGTTAATTCATTATAAATACAATTACCAATAATATTCAAAATGTAACATTAACATTTATGTAATTGGTAATGACGTAATGATCAGGATACGGGGAAAAATGCTTAGATTTTTCTCTTGTTTAAAAATARACCATGTGGAAATATAGGGTAATCAAAATGTTTACCTTAGTTTTTTAATTTAATGATGATTTTAATTAAACTCAAAAATTAGACTTTTTAAATATACTCAGACTAAATATTCAAATTCTTACATTTTTTTTTATAAAATGATGTTCTGTAGCAGTACAGAATTATCATTTTTWAATGAGAACTCCACTTTTTACTGTAAATTATATATTGCATAATTTTTTTGATAATGTTGATGTACTTAACTCAAAATTTGAGTGAGTAGATTCTTAGTTATTAAAATGTTTGCTGTTTGTACTATAGATATAGTTCTTAAAAAATGTTTTAAGAAAATAAAAAATAGACATAAAATTGAATCTTGTATTTATTATACTTGAGCTGTTTTTACACATTTTTAGTATTGATAGATTATAACTAATACTGTCAAATCGCCATAACTCTAACGGATCTTATAAATCCACTACCATTCACTTTTTATTCTTAGAGCATAAAGTTATATGACTCAAAAACTACTAGTATGYTCAGAAAAAATATCCACTGTATAATTTACAGTTGAAAATGGGTATCCTCATTTTAAAAACAAAAGTTATTAATTCCGCAGGATACTTCTTTTCTTAAGTAGGAAAAAAATCTCAAAAATTTGAATAATGGTTTGAAAGTATATTTAAAAATTCCAAAAATGAGACCTGCATTATAGAAGAAAAAGGGGTGAGCATGCTTGGTGAACTACTCTATATATTTATATTTCCTCGAAATCAATAGTATAGGTTTTAAATTTTTGTRTTAAAAATATAAAATATTTTTAATTCAATTTTTATCGTTTATCGTTTTAATTATATATAATAATTACAATCGTTTTTTATTTCAACGTTATTATGACGTTTGAATGTCCTGATAGGTATCCATTATATAAATGGAAAATTTCACGATTATTTTGTCTTCAAAAAATAAAAAATAATTGATTATACGTTTTTTTATTATTTTATTATTTTATTATTACTATTATTATTATTAGTAGTAGTAGTATTTATTGATGAATTCAACACACTGAAGAGTGGAAATAGTCATCATGACTCATGAAAAWTTTTAAGTTTTGTCACGTGTATGTTATTGCTTAAGGTTTTAATGAAATTCCATATTATCTTAGTAGGTTGATATAAATTATAACATCCAACCATAGTAAACTCAAAATGGTAATTAATTGTATTCTAAGGAAAAAATACGTGAAACTGAACTTTAACACTTGATAATCTGTGCCCTGTGGGTACAAAATAGTAGTAACACAAAAAAAGTTGATCTTCCTGTTAAAAGTTTCCTATTATTTCTTGCAATCCTCGTCATGGTTTCGATTTTTTAAATTTTTWAATTTATTTTAGGAATAAACCTAATTAATTGCTTTGTATCATAACAATAATAATTTTTATTTGATTACATACAGACTAAATTTAAAAAATAGTTATTTTGTTTACAACTCTTTTCGTTCTTCTCAAAAATTATATTTCCATCATATTGATATTTTATCATATCCCCAATTATACATAGGTACATATAATTAAAAACAAACTATTATTTAAAAATTAAATACAATCATTATATTGTATTTAATTATCTACAATAGATGTTGTGTCCATCTGATCATAGKTAGTACCTTTGTAAGTCTTATGAGAACTAAAAATATCAATATATATCTATCTYCTAGAAGTACTGCTGTGCATTGCATAGTATTCAAAACAATTACCTGTCTTATTCAAACTTTTGATCCGTCTGTGTCTTGCAATATATTTTATAAAGATAGATACTTTTAGGGTAATTCATCAATCATTTTCATTTCCATTTTCTTTTTTCRTTGTAAATTAGTAGGTAGAATTTTTTTAAAAATTTAAAAAAAATTGTTAATGTACAATGTACCTATAATCTATATAAATCGAAATTTCAACGAATAGTTCCTAAACTAGTAGCCTATATAGATAATATGTATTAAGAATAAAAACTAGTTAATATTTAGTTATCTTTTATGCTATCTAAATAAATAAATGCAAGTATCTAATTAATAATTTAAGATATAGTCTAATGACCTTTGCTGTCGAAGCCTCAACCCCCCACCACACAAAAAAAAAATAAAATAAAATAAAAATAATTTAAGAAAACGTAATTCACCCATATCTAAATTTATTTGTATAAATAATTATATTTTTATATTATAAATGATTCATATTAAACATAAATAATAACAATAATATTCAACATCAAACAAAATGTTCTTTAATTTAATATTATGTCGTTCTAAGAATTAAATATTTAACTCATAAAAATGTATTATTGATTTATACTTTTAATTGATTAWAATGTCAATTACAAACTTTCATTTAAACTTAATATTATCTGTGTTTAAACCATAATCAAGTAGTAGCAAGACGTACTAATAAAAATTTAAAATTAAGCATATTAAAAAAAAATATTATTTTTTATTTATACGTAAAAGTATTTATAATTTATTTTTATCTATATAAAAAAAGTATTTATCTAATCCCAATACTGGTCAAAAAAGAAGGTATAGTTATAGATTGAAAAATACAAATTAGTAACTTCTCAGGATAATTTCTAAATGGTATAAATAATTTATGTATTTAAAAGTTTATATTTTTTATTTAAAGAAGCTTTAGTTCCAGATTTGGGCAATGTAGTTAAATTAATTCGACTGCTGACCGCATTTTAGCTTTCGCAAATTAATAAGCATAGACACACTCCACAGTGTTATAATTRTGTCATTATTTATTACCATCTTCTACCCTAAGTACAAAAATATCATCCCTACAGCATCATACTTATTCCGTCGTCAAGGTAAAATTAAAAGTACACAAACGCATATTATATTGAGTTAAAAGTAGAGCACCGGAGAYCGTCTGATTTTTTTTCTCAACGGTTGAAATCAAATTAAGTATAATATAAACAAACTCAAAAAATCGATGGCAAAAATATTTAAAATTCCCACGCACACGACACATAATTTGATAAAGGGAAACGTTTACTCTCGCGAACGRGGAAGAGGAAGGGTCCGGTAACCCCATTTTCGTAGTATTTATTCGTCCTTCTCACTTGTTCAAACACAACTTCTATAAGGGTATGGTATCATTATTTTATACAATATAGAAAAATACTCTGCAGGATTCGCGTAGGTCGCATAACAATGTTTACGGTTCAGCGATCCTGTTCTCGGAATAGGAATCCATAGGTATTGGTAATCAAAAAATGATATTCGATCGTTAACCAAACGAAAACGGCGCCGTATGCTTTGAAGATTAACAAAATGCAATACGCCGTTCATAAACTGTTTTAAATTGTGCCGTTTATGGTACACCTAAAACGTGATCGACCGATAAATGCCGGCTGCTGCGACTGTTGACTAATTCCACGGCACTTTTAAAGCGTTTAAATCTCGAGGGAGGTAAGTTTTTTGAGGTGCCCGCAGTATTCTCGAAAAACCGTTCTTGACGTAAACCACGCGTACAAAAAACAACTAATTGAACTGTCGTTATGGCTATACGTATAGGTACTGTATTATTATTATTCTATTATAGTACACTGCACGCTACACGCCATATCGCATCACCGTGATGCAACCACCTGAGGCTTCGATTTTACCACGAAAAACGGCAGAAATGGGTGGATTGCGTAGGTGTTATAATAATTCCCCTTTACCTGCAAAATTCTAAAATATTACAACGCGTGATGGAACGACATTTTATGGTTATCTTGTTATTGAGAGTACGATGCACTGGCATTATCGCGGTCGTTTCATTATTTCCAGCGCGTAACATTACAAATTATTTACGTATATTCAGCATTTCGTGTTTAGTTTCTTTTGATTTTAATACAAGGGCGGATATTGATTCAATATGAAATTATATCTATGATTGTAGGCATATAATATCTATGCACAAGTTTTGTCAGACATATTAATATATTAWATGTATATAAGTTATAAGTTTGAGCTAGAGATGAAACATTTGTATCTGTACTGGCTTTAAGATCAAGTTACAGGTTCCTATTCTAATAAGTATTATATAATTGTATACATCCACTAATTGAGATGTATTTGTAATTCGCTATGGGAATTGGTCGTTTTGATGAGAACACAAAACACTTATGTTTATAAGTCATACCTACATAAATGGATTTTAAATCTAATTCAATGATTGAGTGTTAACAGTGGTCGTAGCCATGATTTTTGTTAAGAGAGGGGGGGGGGTGATAAACGTTGACTTTTAAATATTGATATATCATAGGTTAGGTTAGGTACTCACTTGTATAAGACGAGGAAAACAAATTTGGGTGAAAATTACGCTAATGAAACTAAAAAATATACACGATGTGCACAGTCAAATTACAAACTCTATTYGTAAAATTTTTTATAGGTATAAATTTATTTTTCGTTTAATTATTTTATACCAATTTGGTTATTATTGAAATACCTACCGAATATAATATACTGCCCAATTCACCAGCTTAGCGTAAATGGTATGTTTGCAACTGGAGCTACAAATTATAAATAAAAACAGCTTATGTAATCAGAACTCGTAGGTTCACGAATTTCAACGTCAATTGTGCTAAATAATATTGCTGTGTAAATACAAAGCGCATAGATAACCTAGGATTTTGCCTCAAGATCACAGCTTTCAATATATTATGAMATTTAATTTTGCATGTGTTTATATATTTTGGARTGTTATGTATTTTGGTATAATTACGCATTTATTTATTTTTTTATTTTTATTTTTGTGTATTGTTAATAGATTTAAGTTTATAGTAGGTACAATTTATTTAATGATAATCAAAAACAACATATATTTGAAAGCATGAATGCATGAATAAAAAAAATATCGTTTAACTCTGTAAGATTGAAAATAATAAACGTATTATGAGTTAAGACGTAGTTGAATTTTGTTTATATAAATTTTTAAAAAAAAACGTGGATTTTCATATTTATGGCGTTGCATAATACCTATTATAATAATTTACGTAAATAACTGCTGAAAATGTTTCTCTGCTCATCTGAACATAATTTATTTGCAGTGCACGAACCTTAGACCTCAGGCCTAACCTCCATTGGTAAACCATATAAGACATACAATTAACGGATATGTGTGTGCGCACGCGTGATTTCAGGTGGGTACGAACTTGATACTGCGRAAGGGATGCGACGTGACGGCCGCCGAGCAGCCGGCTGACTTGAGGGAAAAGTGCCTGAACGAGAGCTACGCGCAAGAGTTGGTGGCCAAAATCCAGACGTGGAAGCTGACCATCCAGTACTCGGTGCCGCTGGTGTTCATACTGTTCGCGGGCTCGTGGAGCGACACGCACGGCCGCCGCCGCCGGCCACTCATGTTCATACCGATCGCCGGCCAGCTGCTGACGGACGCGTTCAACGTGCTCAACGTGTACAATTGGCACTGGTCGCCCGCCGTGGCCGCCGTGTCCGAGTGCCTGGTGCCGGCGCTCACCGGGTCCCGGATATGCTGCGTGGTGGGCGTCGCGTCCTATGTGGCCGACATCACGCGTGTCCAGGATCGGACCAAGCGCATCGGCATGCTCATGTCGCTGTACTTCATCGCCACGCCGGTGGGCGCGTGCACGGCCGGCTTCCTCAACGTCAACATCGGCTTCTACGGCACGTTCGGCGTGTGCATAGCGATGAACGTGGCGGCGCTCGTGCTGGGCGCGGCCCTGGTCAAGGACACGTCCGTGCCCTACGACAAGGGCGCGTCAATATGGCAGACGGTCAACCCGAAGGTGATCGCCGACTCGGTGCGCGTACTGGTCAAGAAACGGCCCAGTCGGTCGCTGCTCATTTACATGACCATCGTGTCGCCGCTCACTATCGGACCCATGCAAGGTACGTTGCAACAGGCATAATATTATAATATATAGTTATAACTAGGGCTGGGATTTTAGTGCACTAAAAAAAAACCCAAAAAATGCCCTTAAAAAATGCTTTTATGACCTAAAAACCCTAAATAATGCCCTAAAAACCCCCAAAAATATTAACTAGAGTCTTAAAACGGTGTTTACGACGMCAAAACTCGTACTGAACGTCGAACGATATCATCGGACGTCGATTTTACCGACTTAAGGTTATTTAACAGGAAATACGGATAGTGTTTACTCAAACCTTGTTCAATAATATAATACGAATTACGAGTACCTACCTACTTATAATATATTTTATTATAATTACTATTGTAATCTCTTATATTTATATAAAAAACATGTTGGTGTAAAACTCTTAAAATAAAATTTCAAATTCATACTTGGTTTCAAAAAACTCAAAACATGCTTCAATAACTCTAAAATGCCATAATAATTAAGAAAATGACCYAAAAACTAAAAAATCCCAAAAAATGCAAAATAAACTTTCTTATTCTCATTCATAAGTACATAAAACAAATTTGTGACCAGACGAACATCGCACAGTAAGCTTTGGAAAACAATGCAAAGTGCATCGAAATCCCAACCCTAGTTATAACGATATTACAAGTATTTGGGTATTACTCGGGGTTTTATAATAAACACTTATGATGATGGGGGGAGGGGGAGTAGGCGTGTTAGAAGTGGTTGGTCCACCTTCATTATCTGTATACCAATTGAATACAACTCATTACGTTGAAATAATAAAATAGATTTTGTTAAAGTCGCTAAAATTATTAAGAATTCAAAAAACATGATTTAAATAAAAGATTTATTGATATAGTAAAGTTACACAAGTCCACAATGACTTTTTTATCTTAATAGTATTTTTATTTTTATTTTTTAACTATTTTATTTCAAGACATGCAGAATCCGCACATATCCATATTAATTAGTTATCAATACTAATTACCTTTACCTATATTTATCTACTATATTTTACTATTAGTATACAATCAACGAAAAAAAACAACAACAGTTATAAAGCAAAATACCAATAACGTAGATTAAGACGATTGAGTAGATTGGCACTGAAGGGTTTGGGTGAAATGATGACATTACCAGAAATTTTTTTTTATAATTTATCAAAATTTTATATTATTATTATTATTTAATAATAATTCTTCAATAAGATTCTCGCACATCATATGAACGTAGCGAAAGAATTATTTTTTGAAGAAAAATGAATGCTAGACGATTATAATTACTATTTATAATTTAAATTTGTATGAATTGACGATCATAAGGCAAACAGCAATTAAGTCAAGGGTATACAACCAATAAATTCAAAATTGTTATACATAATAATATGTATTATGGTTATAATAATAYATTGAAATATATAATATCATAATAATATTATGAATCTAGTTATGTGCATAAAAATAACCATACTATGATGATATACATATTTTAAAATTCATACTGAATACAATTTAGGTTTGAATGCCCAACTGACTATAGTATACATTAATTATGTCTGATACATTATTTTATACTAACACATGCGTTAAAACAATAATTTTTATTGCACTTATATATTATTATAAAATATATTTTCATGTAACTAAATAGTATATAGTATTTACTGAAGTCATTGATTTATTCAATTATACTATTAAGTATTTTTATATGACCAAAACTCTTAGTAAAATTTTACATAACGAATTTGAAATTCGATTTGRTAAAACATGTTTTAATTTAATGTTTCGATACATTTTTTAAATTTATTTAACTAGTATATATTTTGTTTGATGGTATTGTACTTAAATTTATACTTCCTATGGGTGGAATCGTATTGAAAATAATCATGTTGAGCCCAGTGAGACAATTTTTTTCAGTTATTCTTCATCGAGTTAAACTCATAATTTTCACTAAATTCAAGTCATATATCATTGCAATATGAAATGTACCATTTTGTAGATACAAATTTCATATAAAAATGTATGCATGTATGGCGTATATTTATTGTATAGGTGAATAAATATGTGAATTTGAAACTCATTTTGTGTTTAGAGATGCGGCCTGTGAGGCACTTAATACATCTATTCAGCGCTTGAAATAGCTCGCATTTTTAACGAAACTCAAAATGCACTGTTCAAGAATGCTGAAAAAATTTTTCTTCGAAAAATGTAAGCTTACTCTTTCATTTCAAATATTCTATTTTAAATTATTTTAAATAAATAATAAAAATAAAATTGAAATACCGACGATTTCACGAATAATATTGCCTCAATTGTATTTGAAAAATGTACGTTTTCTTAAACTGTATAAAACAAAGATATACATTTCTACAACTCCACGTATTAGTAAATATCTGAATTCCAATTAAATATACAGTACAAACGTTTTTCGATATTTTTATTAATTTATTCATCCAGTGCCTATATTTATAATAATATTATTATTCAAAATGGTAACTCAAGACGTGTTCAACAATATATAATATAATATTATGAACACTATTTTTGCATTCTACATGAGAGTATATCTGATTTCTATAACATAATCGCCCGTATGCAATATAGCAAAGAACTATAATTAAAGAAGTATACGAAAATAATATCAAACATTATTATTATATGCGTAGGAGGAACAAATGTGTAATTTTCGACTGAGCACGTTATAAAATAACCATGCAATGGCAACCCTAACAGTGTCATATAAAATCTTAAACGTCATTGTTATTAATAATTATTGTTTGTACCAATAATATAATAATAAGTTTTATAAACGTAAAACGACAACACATTTAGTTTATTGATTGGGTACTACTTCCTACTGTCTCGCCATTCACGATTAACCTGTAAGAATATTATAACAATATTATATTGTTTTCATTTGGGTTAGAATTATATTTTTGAAATTTGAAGGCAAAAAATTWAATTTCCTGCATAATTTGTGACATGCGTTTAGTACTGATCAAATATTTCAAACAGAATATTTTTTAAGAGAAAATTCTCTCTGCTATAGTTGAAGTATGTACCTACGGTACTGTTTATAATACAAACGTTTAATTTTGTGTACATTCACAWGGGTGACCTATAGGTTACATTTTAAAGTGAGGGAGAGAGAGAGAACAAAAAAATGTTCTTAAACCTAAATAAACCTTTAATGTTTTGTCAACACAATATGAGTTCAAATATCTTATTATATTAAATATTAATAATTAATATATATATATATTTTTTTTTTATTGATCCTAAGTTAAGCAACTATGATAGCCTTTAGCTGTTTGTAGGGAAAACAGTTAGTTTGAAATATAGTCAAATTTATTACTCAATGTCGGTAAATAAGAACTGCTCATAATATCTTTGTTTTATTATAAATATAATACTTAATATTTGTTTTGAATAAAACAGTCCACGTTCACTGGTTCATTCTTTTACTTTTTCACAGCGACTGATCATTAAGTTATAAGTTCATAATATTTTTTTTCAAGGGGAGTAGAAAGTGCTCCACATTGCTTCTCCCAATCAGTGCTCATCACATTTTTCTATTTAGTTATGTCTATTTTAATTGTTTGATAAATAATATCACATATTTAAATATAACTATAGATAGAAAACGTATCGTTTAGAAATTATAGTCCGCGCCACGAGAGAACGCATACGGCGGCCGACCAAAACACGTTTTTTTTCGCGCATTCCCACCACTTTACCAGCACGATCGCCACCCGTCGGAGCGCTTCGGAGCACATCGATTTTGTCGGCAGGTGTATACACTGCGATTACAATAACAAAAACATTTTTTCATCAAGTCGTTAGTCGTTTACCGAATATTCCATAAAATAGGTCTTGATTTACTACAGGTA